AAATGCTGAAGTTGGAAGGAAAGCACATGACTAAACGTATGGTCGCATCTCATTGGGAGCAAATAAATGTTTCCAATGATTTTATCAAGTCTTCTTGCAAGTCTTCACCTTATTTATTTTTTATAGTCCAATCCAATATTTATGATATTTACAAAAGTTTAGGTTAAGTTATGTCTAGAATTCATTATAAAGATCAGGACAGATTTCACTGGCTAGAGTATATAAAGATATATTTTGTAAACTATCCATGAACGAAGTGTTTATACGGATGGCGACTTTGGAATTCACATTTTTTAAAATATATTTTATTTTTATCAATGAAATCTTTTAAAAAAATATATAACTAATAAATTTACTTCACTTAATAACTCATATTTTATATCAATTTTAAGTAATTTAACCATTAAATTAAAAAATTTTATTATATAAATCAAGTTTTCAAATTTTTAAAATTTTTAAAATTATTTAATATTTTATTTTGTTAATTCAAATTAATATATAAAATATTTTTTAAATTTTTTGTCAATTTAAATTAATAAAATAAAATATCAAATAATTTTAAAGTCTTTTAAAAAAATTTGTAAACTTGATTTATATAATATAAAAAAAATTTAAGAATTGGATCATTGAAATGTTATATAAAATATGAGATATTAAGTTGAGTAAGTGGATTTCTCATCTATTTCTTTATATCTCTTTATATATACATATAAAAGAGAAGAGATTCACTTACTCCAAAAGTAAGTCTACTTAAATTTATTTTATTCAATAACTCGTATTCTATATCAAATTTTAATAATTTAATCATTGAATTGAAATTTTTTAATGCATATATCATGTTTGTAATTTTTTTTTAAAAATTTGAAAACTATTTGATACTCTGTTTCAATAATTCAAATTGATGAATAATCATAAAAATATTTTATATATTGATTTGAATTAATGAAAATGAGTATTAAGTAATTTTTAAATTTTTAAAAAATTTGCATACTTTTATAGATTAAATTTTTTTTAATTGAACGATTTGATCATTAAAATTTAATATAAAACTTAAGTTATTGAGTGAAATAAGTCTAAACACTGGTGTAACTTTTACTAAATGTTACACTGCTCAATAACTTTATATTAAATGTGAATTTTATAAATTCAGCAGTTAGATTGGAAGTTCTTTACTCTTAAATCATATATACAAAATTTTATAGTAATCCAACATGATTTGATACTTCATTTTTATAAAACAAAATTGACGTAATATATTTATTTCAAAATATACTAAAATACGAATACTTTGATTACCCTCAAGTTTGTAGAGCCCGATAGTCCACCCGTTCCTCCACCATAGTATGATATTGTCCGCTTTGGGCCCAAGCACGCACGGTTTTGTTTTTGGGCTCCTTCCCAAAAGGCCTCATACTATGTGGAATGGTGGACACTTATAAACTAGCCAATGTTCCTTCATTTTACCGATGTGGGACTTGGGATGAATCCCAACAAACCTCCCCTCAGACCAAGGACCACATGTCTCGTGATCTCCTCCCCTCAAGCGATAATCCGTCACCATCTTGTACCGCCGTTAACTCTACGGGACACGCCGCCTGAACACCACAATATCAGGAAGACTTTCGACACAAGGCACCAAGTTCGAATCTCCATCGCGAGGCACAACACTGAGGGTCTTCCCGCATCAAACCCAGACGAACCGTTGGCTCTGATACCACTTGTAGGGCCCGATAGTCCACCTGTTCCCCCACCATAGTATGATATTGTCCGCTTTGGGCCCAAGCCCGCACGGTTTTGTTTTTGGGCTCCTTCCCAAAAGGCCTCATACTATGTGGAATGGTGGACACTTATAAACTAGCCAATGTTCCTATAGTTGCTCAATTTTTCCAACATCAAAATTCACATTGACCGAACACAAATTCAAAGATTTGTTAGACTCCTTTTCCTTTGGATTTATATATATATATATATATATATATATATATATATATTCTCGTTGCATTCTTACTTTTGGCTTTCATTATTTTCAATCCCACTTCAACTCTAGAGCGAGTAGTATAGGGTAAGACTCATGACTAACTCCACTCCTTCTATGAAGTCGTTTCTATCTAGACTAAGTTTTTCATGTCTGTTTGATAACAAATCACAATTAATTTGAAACCTAGCTAAAAATTAATTATTTGTCAAACCGATTTTTTAACACATTCTAAATTAGTTGTCAAACAACCAATTTAGAAGATACATCAAACACATCCAGTTATCTTATCCTATCTTAAAAAATCTTTTAAGTTAGTTATTTTTTATCAAATTTAGAAAATTTTCCTTTAATTGTATTTGTGTCGGTATTTATCGTTTAAAATTGTTTATACAATAATTAACTTTAAAATTCTCGATGCTAAATGTCATTTTTTCACTAATGTGTGATCTCAATTGAAGATTGAGATAAATAAGTGATAAAAAAAAATGAACATGAACATGAAGTAAACTTTATTAATTTCAGAGAATGAATATTATACCAGACAATAATTATGTATATTCTCACACTTACGTGTGCTAGTTCAATTTGTCAACTTTTATAATGCATCTCATATTTTTAGGACCTAACCGGATAACTAGTTGAACAAAAATATAATTAAACTAATTAACCAAGTAAGAAACATGTGTCATAATTAACAAAATCAAACATTCTTATGTCTATTTTCTATTTCACCTATTTAATTATATTATTATTTGTCTCACTTTTCTATTTTCAGCTTTCCTACTTCTGTCCTCCCTATCAATATGTGTTAATAATGATCTTTCTTTCATTATACACAAATCACATTAAACATTGTACGCTTCCACGTTCAATGCGCAATTCTTTAAGCAATTTGTAAACGTACTTAGATGCTTCGAATAGCTAGTATGATACTTATAGTTATATAGTGAGTTTCAGAATTCATCATATATATATATAAATATATATTAAAGTATTTGATAACTTTATAAATTCCTTTGACTAATATATAAGTTAGTTTGACGAATATAAGTTTTTTTAGTATGAAATCTTATTTTAAGAATTTATAATTTATTTTCATAAATTATTTGAAATAACTTATAATTTATAAGTTTTTTCTTTCTTTCTTTTTATCCCCATTAATTTATTTAAAATCTTTTTTTAATTTTCAAACCATTTTGTCTACTCTCTCATTTTCTAACTTGTTATCAATTAGCTAATTTTTTTTAAAATAAATAAATATATTTAATATATTTTAAATTAATTAGCTAATTTTTTTTATTAAATAAATATATTTTATGCATTTTAAATTAATAGCTAATTTATTATTCATTTTACTAAATACTTTTAATAAGACAGATTTCATATTGTAAAAAGTATTTATAAATTTCTGTAGAAAAAACTATTTATAATTTATTCACTACCAAGTCTTTATATAAATAGTATGATTGAATCGACATTAAATTTTAATTATTTAACTAATAGATTAATTTATTTTTTATGAATAGACCAAGTCTACCGCTTTTTACAAAATTTAAAAACTATTTGATAGTTCTTTAAATTAATTTAAATAGAATTATATTCATAAAAACATATTATATGTTAATTATTAATATAATAAAGTTTTAAATAATTTTTAAATTTTATAAAATTTGTAGACTTGATATATTTAATAAGAACTTTTAATTTAACAATTAAATTGTTAAATTTATTACAAATCAAGAGTTATTAAATGAAATAAACTATCAAGAGTTACTCTTATATAATAAGTAAATATCCTCCCATATTTATTTATTATATAAGAATAGTAAATACTAAAAATAAATTAGAATTTTTATATTGAACAAAAATACTTTTAAAGATTAATTTTTAATGATATATAGTTATTTAACTAATTTTGTTTGAGATCATTGAGTTATTAAAATAAAGTTACTTTTAATTAGATTATAATAAATAATTAAATTTATACTATTAATAAATACAATATATCTTTTTTATATATAATGGTTTTAGAGCATTTTGTCCTTATAACTTTTAAAGTATTTTTTCTCTTTCATAAAATTTATAATATTAATAACGTGATATTTTATTTTGGTGTATATTTTTTAAAATCATTTTTTCTCTTTTAACTTTCAAAATACTCTCTTTCTCATAATTTTTTTTATTTAATTATTATTTTCAGTTTTTTTTGAGAGATTATTTTCAGTTTTATTCTTTATATTTTTATCAATTTATTTATCAAACATCTTGTATCCTCTAATTAAACAGTCACTTCGTTATCTTTTTTTCTTCTTCTTTCATATATAGACATAAAATATCGGTTTCTTACTGGTATAAAGATTACATACAAATTATATTTTATATTTATAATAAATATTTTACATTAGAATATTAGGTTACTTTTAATTACAAATATTTATTTATTATAAAATTTAATTATAATTTTATTTAAATTTTAAAAAAATATTATAAATTATGATTATATAAAATAAAAAAAATTTCAAAAATTGCACAAATTAAAATACTAATATAATTTATATGTTTTAAATTGAAAAATATTTATTATAAATTTGAATTAAATAATTATAATATAATTCATATATTAAAAATTATTTACTCATTATAATTTTAATTATAAAAATAAAAATTTACTCCGTAGAATACTACTTATATATTTTAATTGAATAAACTTAAGGGAATAGGTATAACTTGAGACCATGAAGCTATCGTAAAAAAAAAGAAAAGATTATAGTCATTATTGTTTTAAAAAAAAAATAGAGGAGTTAGAAAAAGTAAATTGGAGAGAAAGAAGGCCACGTTTCATGGAAGTTGTAACTCCCTTTCATGTTTCGAAGAGTGATTCTTGGTAAGTGAAGAATATAACAAATGATAAACATGTGACGCGTTCCATTTTGCATCTTCAAAAACATATTTGTTCATAAATCTTTGTAGTCACCAAAGGATCAATACTAACCTACGAGATGTATTGCTGGAATATCAATGAATCTCAACTCGATTTCCTTTGCATAAGCGCAATCCTTCAAGGTTTGTAAAATATCTATTCCACTAGGTGAATAACTTGAAATTTGCATGGGTAGGGATCGTATTTCAAGAGTGATAAACAACCATATGTTAATTATTTAGATTTGTGATCTGTGAAATTAATAGTTTATGTAATTACTGTGTGTTGTGTCTTCTTTTCTTGTCTCAAGTTGTGCACTGTATTGCTAATGTTATGCTGTGATTTTTTTTTGTTTGACAATTTTATCTATAATTTTGAGTTTTGCTGGCTATAAAAAAATGATTGGGTTTTGTTAAATGGTCAAACTCATTAACCCATGGATCTTGTTTTTGTAGCTATTTTGTAAGTGCTTCAGTTCACCTCAATAACAAAACTCTTGTCTACCTAGTCATATCAAGGATGGAAACCTTGAAATAAACTTGTGAGTTGATTTTGTACATTAATTTTCTTTTTCTCTTTTATATATTGAACATTTATTTTATGTAAAATGAGATTATTTTGTTTGTTAATAGTGTTTGATGTTTTACATATTTTGTAAAATTATAATTTCTTGTAGTACTACTTGAAAAGACACAAGGTTATACTCAAGTTTTCTGTGGAAGATTGATTCAGCAAAAGATAGGTATGTGAAAGATGCGGTAAATAACGTTTGTCTCATTTATGGAAAAAAAATGTTTTATCGTGTAACTTGTTGATATTTTCCTTAAAAGCCAATACAAGATCATTCCCTAACATTGTTCCCAAATCTTTATTTTGCAACCTTTATATATTTGATTTTTAGACAAAAAAAAATAACGAAAAATAGTTGTATAATATATTCATTTGCACTTTTGCAGTTATATGTTTTTATTTTGTAACCTTTATATATTTGATTTTTAGACAAAAAAAAAAAACTAACGAAAAATAGTTGTATAATATATCCATTTGCACTTTTGCAAATATATGTTCTTGGATCACGCCAACCTTTCTAGCACTTTAAATACTTTAGTTAATCATGTAACTTTATTTCTTATTTGAAAGTCTTTTATATTAATATTTTTATCTTAACTTTTGATATAATTACATTTTTATCAAATATTAATTACTTTATTTTTATTAATACTTATTATTTTTTTGTTGTATTTTTTTGCAGGTTTGGAATTCATGAAGATGCTATTTTTATTATTAATTTAGAAATTTTGTTAAATTTAAGAATTATGAAATTCTAGTAATTCAATGTGTAATATTTTAGATTGATCGCAACAATGTTGAATATGATTGTATTTTTGTCATTAAACATGTAATGGATATATTTTATTTTAATGTCATATTTGTTATAATGTGTATTTATTTTACTTGTATTCATTTTCATATTTAAAATAAATGTGTATTATTATGGTATTCAAAAATTAATTTAGTGATAATGACATAAGTATTATTATTTAAAAAAATTAATGACAAAATGTTAATAAAAGAAAATAATAATTAGTTTGAAATATTTTTGACACTAATAATCATACGTATATGTGATTATAAATTCTTAATAATGACAATTAAATCATCACTATTATCTTTTATATTTGTGATAGCTTAAATTTTGTTGTTGTTATTTATAAACATTAGTGATGATAATTTCATCACAATAGATATTATTTTTTGACATACAAAAAATCGTCACTAATTTAATAGTGACTCGAATATTAGTGATGATTGGTGACAAATGAAAATATCGTCACAAGATATATATAGTGATTTTTTAAGTTTTTAGTGACGAATATTATTATCATTAAATATAATTTCCTTGTAGTGATTGTTGGTTACATATTTTGATTTTTCATAGTACTTATTGTTTGAATAAAATAAAAAACTTTATGATGAGATTCACGAGAAGTGAGATTCTATTAATTATTTTAAGTGAACAAGGCTGATTTGTGATATGTGAACAAATATCAACATACATATTATCATATTTGAAGAAAAAAAATAACTTAAAAAAAAGCATACATCGTAACTATTTGAAAGACAAAATAAGTCGCATATACGATACAATTATTAAAAAGTCATTTGAAAAAAAAAAGTCAGAAAAAGTATAATTTTTTTAAAAAAATTTAAAATGATTTTTAATTATTTTAAGGATAACAAAATAAATGAATTAAATATTTAAATCCATTAGAAATTCACATAAAAATTTAATCCATTAAATTTATTTAAAAGAAAAAAGAAGAAAAAAAAATAAGAGCGGGGCAGGGACGGGGCGGGGAAACCCGAACCCCGCCGGAAGTTAAAATGGGGACCCAAATTTTATCCCCGACAACATGCCTAATTTGGCTCATAGCAAAATTAGGCAAATTTAACTATGATATGTTAAAGTAAGGCTTTAAAGAAACCCCGCCAAACCTACCTCAACCACCGGTTATCAATACCTCCACCGACCTTTTGCTCTTAAGCCGTCCTAATTGACCATTTGATATATGTGGAATGAATGTATGGATACAGAAGCAATCTCGTGGAGGAAATTCGGATACAATGCAATACGTTTTCATGTCCTTTTTCTCACGAAACGTGTAAATGAAACAAAAACAGGGCAACCTTGGCCATGAAGATGGAAGAGGAGTAAAGATGAATGCTTTTAGTCAAGTGACTAGTAATTAAGCAAGCAGGTGTCCTAGATTGGAACAATGTTTCTCAATTGTTTGGGCTTCAACCGTTCCAATCACACAACTGACACAAGTTCATCACACAGACAGTACCCAACGGTAATACAAGAGTTATGCCATCAATTTTCTCTCGCTGATCTTAGGAAGTTCACCAACAATTTTGATTGCAGACAAAAAATTGGTAGTAGAGTATACAAAGGTTCTCTTGAACATAACGGTGTTACCGATTGTCCCATTGCATTAAAGCGGATTGGAAAATCCCACCAAGAAATGTTCGAGTTTAAGAATGAAATAGAGTTGCTCTGCCAGCTTCATCACCCTAATTTTGTCTCTCTTATAGGATTCTGCGATGATGAAAAAGAGAAGTTTCTGGTGTACGAGTACATGTCAAATGGATCTCTTCATCGACACCTACATTGTGGGAAACTGTCATGGAAGACAAGGTTAAAGATATGCATTGGAGCAGCGCGTGGACTACACTACCTTCACGCTGGAGCCAAACGCACCATCATTCACCGTGACATTCGTACTAAAAACATTCTTTTGGATGACAACATGCACCCAAAACTAGCAGATTTTGGCTTGTGCCTAAAAGGAGCACGTTTTATGTCTAAGCCAAAATCAATTCAAGTGGATCGAATTATAGGTAATTTTTTATTTGACGAGTTTATTGTGATGAATTTTTGTAAGTTAGGCTAAGCTAATATTTTCACTTATAGGTACTTGTGGCTACATGGCTATGGAGTATGCCATGCACGGTATTGTCACAGACAAATGTGATGTTTTCTCATTTGGAGTGGTTTTACTAGAAGTTGTTTGCGGAGGAAAATATGTAAATACGGAAGCAGAAACAGAATTTTTGGGGCAGCCTCTTGAAGAGAAAATTGATCCAAATATCAAAGGAAATATTGCACCCGAGTGTTGGCAAGTCTTCTTAGATATCACTCAAAGATGTATGAATCCTGTCCCAGATGAGCGACCAGCAATGGGTGAAGTAGAGGTGGAACTTGAGCATGCCTTGTCGCTGCAGGAACAAGCAGATATCACAAACACCAATAATGAATATAACTTGTTGTCCAAAACCACTTTTAACCAAAATATGATGCAGGAACTTGAACGTGCTCTGTCAATGCATCCAGAAGATATTAGGGATTGGTTTCCCTTCTTATATGGAGAAAAAGCTCAAAATTGATAAGCTCAAAGTTTATCTTACTTAAAAATCAAGTGGAGAGGGGTCTGTTAGGAGATAAAGAGAGAGTAAATTACACAACTTTCACGAGGAGAAAGAAGAGAGAAAGAGAGTAGACAATTTGGTGTGCATACACATAGCAGTTTTAGTAAAATTGTGATCTCTACTTCGTTTACCGTTGGATCGGGCTGGAAATTTGACAGTAGGTTCTTAACACGGTGATCTTCGTCTTGACCGTTGGGATCGTGGATTGAAGATTTGTGATTGGAGAAATCAATTTCGTATAGTTGCTCTAATTTAAGGTTTTTTCTTTTTTATTCTTCGGTTGGAAGGTCTTGTTACTTTAATATATTGTCTAGTTATAAACATTTATTTATGCATTTGATTAGACTCTCTTGTACCCTAATTTGATCATAGTGGAACTTGATTGACTAGCTTGTGTCCGTGGGTTTTTACTTCTCACATTGAGAGAGTTTTCTCACGTTAAAAATATTTGTGTCTCTTTGTAATTATTTTTTGTCATTTATTTGTTTTATTGCTCCTCGTTGGTTTTTGCAAGTTGAAGAATTATTTTTGCTGCATACTTTGGTACTTTTGAATATTGTGTTATTTCCCCTTTTACTGAATAAAAAAATAAAATTAGTGACGAATTTTGTAACGGATTATATTTTGTCTCTAAAAAATCCGTCACAATTTTCGTCACTGAATAAAAAAATAAAATTAGTGACAGATTAAGTTCCTCTATAAATATTTCCTCACAAAAATGCGTCACAATACTATAATAAATAATTCAGTGACGGATTTTGTGACGAAATTTTTGTCAACATTTGTATTTTGTCACAAATTTCGTCATAAATAGCTACGAAATTTGTGAGGAATTATTGATCCCTCTCAAAATATTAATTTTATTTATGAAATTTTTATATGTAAGAATTATGCAGAATTAAAGAATATATGTTTTTTTTAAATTATGAAAAATTTATCCGTCGGAAAATTTATATTTTTTCATGAAAAAAAATTCGTAGGAAAAGTTATATTACTGATAAAATATGTCTGACAAATTAATATTTGTCAAAAATTTAAGAATTTTTTACGAAAATTGAAAATCATATATAAAAAAGGTCCATATATATATATATATGAGGAGAGTTATAATAACACAGGTATAACTTTTACTAAGTATTACACCGCTCAATAACTTTATATTAAATGAGAATTTTGTAAATTCAATCGTTAAATTGAAAATTTTTTACTCTTAAATCATATATACAAAATTTTATATTAATCCAAGATGATTTGATACTTCATTCTTATAAAAAAAAATTAACGTAATATATACATTTCAAAATATACTAAAATATGAACATTTTGATTACCTTCACGTTGTTGTTCAATTTTAACAAAATTTGATATAAACATATAAAGTGATATGAACTTTTAATCTAACGGTTGGATTTACAAAATTCACACTTAATATAAAGTTATTAAGCGGTGTAATACTTAGTAAAATTAAGTTACACCGGTGTTATTATAACCCTCCTCTCTCTCTCTCTCTCT